CACCGAGGTTTGGATGTAAGGCTGCAGTTTGAGGAAGACGTGATCACCGACCTGGAATTGGCGAAAGGAACGCTTCTTGTTCGCCTGGTCTTGCATGATCTGGCGCGCCCGATGGAGTTGTTGTTGAATAAGGTCCTGCATCACTGCCCGCTCCTCGAGCCAAGTTTGCAAAGCTGGTACTGATGACGAGGTCGATGCCGTGATCCCCCAGTGCCGAGGTTCCCTTCCAAACATGGCCTTGAACAGCGTCATCCCGATGGCAGAGTGGTGTGATGAGTTGTACCAGAATTGTGCCAAAGGTACCCAAAAGCTCCATCTCTTCGGGCACGCTTGAACGAAGCAGCGCAGATAAGTTTCAATGCACTGGTTCACCCGCTCGGTTTGGCCGTCCGTCTGCGGATGATTCGCCGTGCTCATGCGCAGTTCTGTTCCTGCATATTTGAACAGTTCTTGCCAAAAATGGCTGGTGAAAACTGGGTCACGGTCAGATACAGTAGCTCCCGGGAATCCGTGCAGCTTGTACAACTGTTGCATGTAGAGGACGGCCACTTTTGCCGCTGTGTAAGGATGGGCCAGGGAAGGAAATGGGCGAACCGGGTCCTTTTGTCGACCACCACGAGCAAGCAGTTGTACTGACCCGATTGTGGCAAGCCGTCCACGAAGTCCATGGTGATTAGATCCCATGATTCTTTTGGAATTGGTAATGGCATCAGCAGACCCGGCGAAGCAGTGCAGTCTGGTTTGGCTTGTTGTCAGATCTGACAGCAACGCACTTATTGCTGCACATGCGCCTTCATCTTGGGCTAGGCAAACAGCCTGCGGATGCGTCGGTAGGTCACTGGGAAGCCAGAGTGGCCCCCCATGGGGCTGTCGTGGAAGGCTGCGATGATGCGCTGCTGCATAGCTGTTGTTCCTCCCAGCCAGATGCGGCCCCTGAAGTGGAGTAACCCATTCTGCAGTTGGAATCTTCCCTTGGGGTCCTCGCGAACCGCCAGTTGCTCAAGGAGTCTCTGCGCTTGAGGATTGGTGTTGTAGATGGCGAGAATATCTTCGAGCCATGCTGGTTGGCACACACTGATTGTGTGCAGCACTTCAGTTATTGTTGCTCTGGACAAGGCATCCGATGCTGTGTTTTCGCCCCCTTTTTTGTACTTGATGACGTATCGGAGTCCCAGCAGTTTAGTGAAGGCTCGCTGCTGCCATGGCGTCGAAAGCCTCTGCTCTGTCAGGTGTGTCAAGCTGCGCTAATCAGTGAGTATGGTAAACTCCGCATGCTGGAGATATGGGCGCCACTGGTCGACAGCTACAATGACTGCCAAATATTCTTTCTCATAGGTCGAGAGACCTTGGTATCGGGGGCTCAGAGCTTTGCTCATGTAAGCGATCGGGTGACCCTCCTGCTGCAGTACCGCCCCTATCCCTTTGTCACGTGCGTCGGTCTCGATCACGAAAGGTTTGGCGAAGTTGGGCAGTGCCAGAACTGGTGCTTCGATCAGATGTTGCTTGAGCAGCTGGAATGCTGTGTCGGTGGCTGGTGTCCAGACGAATGGTGCCCCTTTTTTGAGAAGATTGAATAGTGGCCGAGCTATGATTCCGAAGTTCTTGACGAATCTTCGATAGTACCCAGCTAGTCCCAAGAAGCTGCGGACCGCCTTGACATCTGATGGTGTCGTCCAGTTGGACACTGCTTGGATCTTCGTAGGTTCTATGGATACCCCACGGTCACTGATGACGTGCCCAAGGTATGATAGGCTGCGCTGTCCGAATTCAGACATGGACATCTTCACCCGCCATTGGTCCCGGTGCAAGAGTTGCAGGACTTGTCGCAGGTGACTGATGTAGTCTCGCAGAGTCTTGCTGAACACCAGGATATCGTCGAAGAAGAGGAGAACGCACTTGCGGTCGACTGGTTTGAGTGTAGTTGTGAGAGATCCGTTGAATGTGGCCGGTCCACCCGCTAACCCGAAAGAGACCACCAAGAATTCGTAGTGGCCTGAGTGCGTCTGAAACGCGGTCTTGTACTCTTCACCCTCTGCCAAACGGATCTGGTGATATCCTGAGCGCAGGTCCAACTTGGAGAACCATGCCGCACCATGTAACTCATCCAGTAATTCCTCGATGATGGGCACGGGGTACTTGGCAATGTAGGTGATGGCATTGAGATGTCTGTAATCGATGCAGAGTCTCCACGTTCCGTCTTTCTTCTTGACGAGGATAGCTGGTGAGCAGAAAGGACTGGTACTCTTCCGAATAATCCCTTTGCGAAGCAGTTCCTCTACCTGAGCATCAATTTCCTTCTTATGCTCTGGCTTGTGTCGATAGGGCCGGATGTTCACCGGCTGGGCTCCTGGGATGAGAGGAATCTTGTGATCGCAGTCGCGATGTGGAGGTAACCCTTCTGGCTCCTTGAACACATCAGAGAATTCTTCTAGAATTGCTTGTATCTCTGGTGAGTTGGTGACGCTGCTGTTGTCCTCACTGGCAGTCACGTAGATCAACGCCATATGAGTGATTGCACCGGAGTTGCAGAGTTGTTGGAGTTGAAGGGCGTTGATGACCGTGCAAGTCGACGAATTAGACTCGTGCCCACGGAGGCGAATCGGTCCCGCGGGTGACGGCATCTCAATGAACTTTGCACGCCAGTCGACCGTCATGGGGCTGTGCTCCTCGAGCCAGTCCATCCCCAAGATTGCATCGTGCGTCCCAAGCGCCAGCACCTTCATATCCGTCGTGAACTGGTGGCCTTGAGTGCACCATTGACATTGTGGCACACTTGCAGAGCAGGCGAGTGCTCCCCCGTCGGCGACGCGTACTTGATAGGCGCGGGGAAGAGGTTGGACGCCCTGGATGGTCGTCGCCAGCCGCTCATTGATGAACGAAGTGGTGCTGCCGGAGTCGACAAGCATCAACGCTTCACGCCCCTGGATCCATGCACGCAACTGGAACGCCTTGTTCGATACACCCCCATTCAGGGCCGGCTTGGAGATAGCCATGACCACTTCTTCTGGGACGGCCTCCGGCTGGGTTGGTGCAGTCGTGGCGTCGATGCGGAAGAGCTCCAGAAGTTCTTCGACGACGTGGAGTTGGACTGACGTGGGGCACGTGTGGTCAGGTCCCCAACGCTCGCCGCACTTGAAGCACAGCCCCCACGCTCGACGGTAGTCGCGCAGGGCCTTGAGCTTGGTGGAGTCAGCTCGCGCGGCATCGGTACCGCGGCGATCCGCGGCTGGAGCTGGTGGTGTCGCGCGCGCCGGTGGAAGAGGCATAGGAAGCGGTACATTGGGTCTCGTCGGCGCGTCAGGAGGGCGCGTAGGCGTGGGGCGCTGCACCTCCGCACGCGCGTTGTCAGCCACCTCCTCCTGAAGTAGCGCCAAGGCACAGGCCGTGTCCAGGTCGGGTGGTCGCTGGACCATGACCACCGCTCAAATGTCCGCCCGCAATCCTTCCACAAAATGGGTGAGAAAATAAAATGGGTGAATCGAGTCTGAATAAGAGCTCAAATGATTAATGATTAACTCAAAGCGCTCGATAAAATCAGCTACGGTGGATGTCTGTTTAATGGTATAGAATTGACGAATGAGCAACTGATGTCGATCGCGACCAAATCGAGTAGTTAATAGGGCAGAAAAAGACTCCCAATCGAAGCTATTGAGCTTCTTTTGGACTGACTGTAACCAAATGGCCGCAGCCCCTGAGAAGTTGAGGGCGACCATGGGAACCCAGAAGGTTTTGTGGATGCCAAACATGGAAAAGTACTGCTCGCACATCATTTTCCACATGTTCGGATTTTTGCCCGTAAATTGCGGAAACGAGATAGAGGGGTGGGCTTGTCCCAAACCCGCAAGCATCTGACTAGCATGCGCAAAAGGAGAAGGTAAGTTTTCGATCTGACCGTTGGCCGGGAGGGCCAACTGCGTCTGGAACGACACCGACGGCCTCCCCCGATGCAAATTGAAGTCGCTGTGGTCCTTAGACCCTTGAGGGGTGTCCTCATCGCCTCCCGCCAGGCCCAAGTTGTCGGAGGGCAGCACGGGCGGTGGTGCCGTAGTGTGAAGAGGTGGCGCGCCCCCGTTGGCGTCGGTGGTGGAGGTTGGGCGCGCCTGTTGGAGGGCGGTGACCGCGTCGCCTAGATCGGAGACGCGGCGCTCCAGATCCGGCCGCCATGCGACGAGATCGTCGAGGCGGGATGTGACCGCGGTGAGAGCCGCGGTGTTGGCCTCCATCGTCGCTGTAAGCTTGTCGAGGTAGGCCTTTGCGAACGGATCCATGGCTTCGACGAGGAAACGACCGTGGCGAATCCCTCGAGTTTCGATGAGATGAGCCAGATCGGGCGGAAGAGTGGAGTTGTGCTGGCGACTGGTACCAGATGTTAGGGACAGAGTAGTGGTAAGGATCGATCTACTATCTCACGGTAGCAATCAGTCTGATACAACGGGATTACAAGAATGGATCGATCGAAAGAAGAACTAGGGTTCGTGCCGCCGCCGCCGTTCGTGATCCACTGGATGGCGAGGGAGAGAGGAGCGTTCGCCTTAAGTAGTCGCGGTGGCTGGGCCGGGCTGGTTGTGCCACTCTGGGCCGAAGTAGAGCGGGTTGCTGCGTCGGGCGCGGCTGGGCCGGGCCCGTGTCTTGCTGGCCGGTGCGGTCGAGCCGTCAGGTGTGTTAACAAGTGCTCCCTTCGGAAACTAATGTAAAACTGTTTAGATTACTACTTTAGTGATCTAAACGCTTTTATGTTAGTTTACAAAGAGAGTACTAACTGACACATACTACACATCAATTTGGTCATAAAGTACGGATTAACTCAATTGTAACACAATTAATTAATTAATCAAGAAGGTAGTACTTTCCTAATTAAACTGAGAAGCAGAGACAGAGAGCGCGAGTGAAAAAGAAACTACTTTATCCGAGGAGTCAACATGCATGCAACGCAAGCATGTGGATGTGGTTTGTGGCATGGAATCGACGGGCCGGCTCAACGACGTACGAATCAACCGATACTACATCTGATCGTATCCGTGGGACTTGGAGGCGACGAGGTTGGGCCCGCGTCCGGCGAGCGCGGCGAGCGCGCCGATGGCGAGGGAGTTGATGTAGGTGCAGGGCTCGGTGCACGCCGACGCGTTGCGCTTGTCGATGAAGTTGTCGGCGCCGTCGGGCCCGCCCATGATGGCCCCCGTGAGCTCGTTGGGGTTGGGCCGGTCGGGCGCGAACCAGTCGCCGAAGCTCATGCCGCAGTTGACGACCGTCCCGGGCTTGAGCACCGGCGTGGACGCGCCGCGGTGGTGCGGCTGCGTGGGCGGGTTGGCCCCGAAGCCGACGACGTAGGACCTCCCCCTCGGGTTGGCGCCGAGGAGGTAGTCCATCTGCTGCTTGGCGAACTCCCTGAGCCTGGCGGGCTTGATGGGCGTGGCACCGCACATGACGTCCTGGCGGGCGGTGTGGAGCCAGTCGGCGTAGACGAGGAAGAGGAAGGCGGTGCCGGTGACGTACTGCGAGTTGGCGCCGTCGCGGAGGTGGATCATGCCGCCGGGGGTGATGAAGACCTGGTGGAAGGGGGTGTCGGGGAGCACGGCGCAGACGAAGTTGTCGGCCTGCGTCTTGTAGCTCTGCAAGCCGCCGCTGGCGTTCATGTTGTGCGGGGCGAGGAGGATCTGCGCGCCGGGGTACTTGAGGTCCCAGCTGAACTCGGCGACGCTGGAGGAGATGGCCTCGTGGGTGATGAAGTCGGCGTAGACCTGGCGCTTGGTGGCCATGAAGAGCCAGGTGGCGGCCCAGAGCAGCTCGTCGTTGTAGCCCGAGTAGGAGCAGTAGAAGGGGCACTCGCCGTCGTAGGTCTTGAGGTGGCTCCTGGCGAACTGGTAGAGCAGCTTGGCCTTGTTCATGAGGCGGCGGGCGTAGTTCTTGTCGTTGCGGAAGACCATGGCGGAGGCGGCGAGGGCGGCGGCGGTCTCGGCGGCGATCTCGGTGCCGGGGGTGTTGCCGTCGATCTGGTAGAGGGTGCGGGGCGTGGGCATGTTCTCGGGGCGGACCCAGCACTGGTGGTCCAGGTTGGGGTCGCCCACCTGGACCCACATGTGGTTCTTCTTGGCGGCGCACTTGAGGATGTAGTCGGTGCCCCACCTGATGGCCTCCTGCACGTGCTTCAGCTCCCCCGCCGTCTGCAGCTCCGGCTTGAACGCCAGCGCCGCCCACGCCAGCGTCGTCACCGTGAACGCCAGCGGCAGCCCGTACTTCACGTTGTCGCCCGCGTCGTAGTACCCGCCCGTTAGATCAACCTGATTCATCGAATGAGAACGCTCTCGTTATGCACAATGAAAAAAAAATAACGTGCTACAAAAAAATAGTTGACCTTCTTAAAATACACGCTATTAGTCTGCTATATCGCGCTATAACATGCTACTAACGAGACATTATACAATGATTTATTTGGTCGAGATATTGCTCAGACCACTATAGAGTTGCATGCATCAGCAAATATGGCGACTCCTAACCCGTTGTGCGTGCAACCGCAATCCTCTCCGCACGCGCTCCTCTGGATCCATGTCGCCTGGCCCACGCGGGACCATGCTGGAAATCCTTTTTCCTCTCCTATACCTTGCAAATACAGTACCCCACTCCTACGGACCTACACAGTCCCCACCCCATGAATCCCCCCTCTCGCCTCTTCTCTCCTCCTCACTGTTCAGATCCGGGTCAGGCCACCGGCACGGCTCCGCCCCTCACTGCTCCGGTGGTCTACTTCTCCAACCTGCTCCTCCACCGCCCCTCCACCGCCCCTCACTGCTCCAGTGGTCTACTTCTCCAACCTGCTCCTCCACCAGCGCGGCCACCTCTTCTGCCCCCCGTCCTCAGCTTCAAGGCCCCAAGATCAGATGAGCTCCGATGTGCATGCATACATGAGACCAGTAGCATTTGCTGCTGTGCATGCGTATGCATTGGGTTAGAGCAGCTCTTTCCATGGATTCGTAGATTAAATCTGTAGATTTCATGCAGTGGATTTTGTGGTTGTGGGTTCTTCCTCTATCTTGATTTTGAATCCTCACTCCGATGCATTTTCGTGGATAATTGTTTATGTCATGTGTCGATGCTTCTTAAGCTGCAGAAAGTGTGATGCATTTTTTCTTGCTTGCTTTTATTCACCGTGTGAAGATTTGATCTATATGAGGGACAGAAGAAGAGATTTAACTTTTTTTGATTCGGTGAATATAGGAGGGAAGATGTGCTGAAAGATATGGTATTGCGTGCCTTTCTTTTATGGATCAAAAAAGATCTATGTGCGGCTGTATGTACGAGAGATTTTGTTCTACACACGGTGAACTAGTATGTACGAGATATATCCGAATTTTACCATAAGTTGGGGCCTTTGAAGTTGAACTACCGAAGAATTTTATGTTTTCCCTACTTGAACTTTAACTTCAAACTCTAAAGAACTTTCAGAGAATTGGTAAACTTTGCTGAAAACAGTGAAGAACTTTTCTTTTTATTCTCAAATATTAAATTAAAAGAATCAGGAGTTGAAGAACTTTCTGAATAGTAGATCCGCACTTTGTTAGAAATAGTAAAGAACTTTGCTATTTGGAACCCAAAAACTATATAAAAAGCTTGTCTGAACTTTGATATAGAGTTTATGGAACTTATTTTTTAGCCATTCACAATTTAGTTTTGTCTTGGGTTTGCAATAATAACCGAATCAACAATTTATGAAATATATGCATATTGGACTTGTTTTGTAGAGCTGGCCATGAGAAACTCAAATACATAAATGAATTTAAATTTGCATAATTTATTTATAAGTTATGATGATATATTTGTTTGTTGTGTAATTTTGTGTTAGAAGAGGTGCAGCACGGTGGGATATGCTTTGGTGGGCCCAAGGGAATCTAGTTCTATAGGGCTTCATATACATGCACTAGAATATCATCTCCTCGTCGAATACATGCATGGCTGACACCAGGGTGGGCCACATCGATTGGACAACATGCTGGATGAACGGTAAGGATATAAGTTGCGGCACAACGGGTTAGGAAAAATCCGTGTCCATACATCAGCTGCTTGAAATGCATGCATGCAAACTAGATCAAATTGTGAGACGACGTTTCATCACTGGTTTTAGCTCAAAAATAGCTCAACGGACTTGAACGCCCATGGACATTAATTAGCAGTTATATGTGCGTGAATCAAGCGGGCATGGCGATTTCATAACGTACGCCATGAACGCCGCACCCATCTTTAACACATGCATGCATTCAACATGAATGCACGCACGACGGACATGATCGACCAAACCAAGAAACTCATGCATGCAGGCAGCACGTATGGAAGCGAAGGAACGAAATTAAGCGGAGAGAGGGAGATCAGCGGCGGCAATAACGCACGCAATACGTACATGGGCGAGCTTGCCGTCCTCCATGCCGGAGTCGCCGCGCCACTTGATGCGGTTGTCGGGCGGCAGCTTCCCGGAGCGCTGCGCCTCGAGGAACATGATCGACTTGGTGAGCGCGTCCTTGTAGTTGAAGGAGGTGGCGCCGGCGACGTCGCCGGACAGGACCAGCGCCGCGAGGAGCAGCGCGACGCCGCAGCGGACGCCTTCGCCGCCGCCGCGGCAGCTCGCTGGGGTGTGCCTCTTCTTCATGGCGCCCGCGCTGGTGAGTGAGGTGAGGGAGGGGGGAAGCCGAAGCCGAGGCGGAGGCGTGGGCGTGCCGTCCGTGTTGGGAGTGGCAGAGGAGGGAGCGAGGGAAGGGCGGCTAAAAGGGGGAGGGGCGCGAGTGCGTTCAGGAGGTTGCGAAGTGTTCGGCCCAGAATGGCTTCGGTTTCAGACGGTCAGCTGCTGGTCTCCCTCTGGTGGCCAGTTTCTCCTGCCTGTCATGCATGGCAAGAACCAAACAAGTGCAGTAAAAAAAACGCACTCAAGTGCTTTTTTTAGGGCAACAGTCAGGCATACTACCATACTTGTTAGTCATTGCAACTTGGACCTACACTCATCCTACTGATTTCCATCAAAAACTGCTGCTAAGTTTTGACGAAGTTGGCAGTGTGCAAGTGCAAATTTAGGCTACTAAAAATTATGAATATTCTAGAGAACTGTGAGTGATCAAAGGTAAATCTTTGATGTTGTTTCTATTGTTTAATTCTTTGGAGTAATACACCCAAATAGGGATTGTTGGGATAATATTGACATTGCTTATACGCATTCTATATACTACTACTAAAGTTTAGTCAAAGGAAGTCAACTAGCTTGAATAGTCAACCAAATAAAATGAAAAATAGAGAAAACCGACATATATACCGCTTCCTCTATCCTTTGAGGCTAGGGTAAACTCTTCCCTCTCCACTCTTCACCGGCGAGCCCGTGGATTCACGTTGCTTCTGCATGCTACTCTAGTGGTTCATGGGATGGAGGGGAATCTCGATCGGTGCCTCCGCTCCGGCTAGTAGTTTAGCCAAGGGGTTTTTAGTCCTTGCAGGTCGGTATCGGGCGGATGGCGGTGCTTTCTCTTCGAGTTTGTCTTTTGGGCTCTGATCCTCCTCGAGTTCGTCGGTCTGGACGTAGTCGACGGAGCTCCAGCATAGATTTCTGCCGTCTCCTTGGGACGGTGAGGTTAGGGTTTCTCGTATGTGACGAGATTTGGTGTCAGATACTTCGTATCTATTCAAGTGTTCAATGACGATGATTGTGACTTTAGGGTGCTGGTCCTTAGGGGCACATGTACAAAGACTTATCGCTTGTCGTCAACAAGGTCAAACCGGCTTTGATAGAGGAGCGGCGACAATGGTGTGTCGGCGGCTCGTTCTGGCGACGATAGTGGTAGTTCGGTGGTCTAGGGACATGGATGTCATTTTTATATGTTCAGGTGTTTTGTTTCTGGTGAACTTTTATAATATACCTGGAACATTTCACAAAATAAATGAAATATCAAATGAAAAGCCCAAAAGAGAAAATAGACTAGCAAGGATGTGTCATGAACACCCTTTCTACCTTACCACGCCATTTGCACCCACGGGAAGTAAAGTTGTCAAAGGAGCTCTACATCGTAGAACCTCTAAATCAGTAATGCCATGTTGAAGTCGGTGTCAGTCTAGAGTTCCAACAGTCAGGAAAGCGCTGTAATGTTCAACAGTGCGTACTTTCACTTAGATTGCTTAACTATCGAAGCAACCGACTAGGAATGGAGCAATGAGGGTGGTTTTATTACTTGCACCTAGAAACTACATGCATGTTACTCTGTTTGCAGTAGGGTAGTACTAATACTGTATTAGTTGTTGCAACTGAACAAACAAACTGCCGATTTGCTTTGCAGTTCCCCAACCAGGGAGAGCAGTGAGGCCTAACCTTTTGATATTTCAGCACAAGATGTTCATAAATGTCAAATAGCACCAATGGCAAGTTGGTCCACATAGGCCTGGAATCAATGGAATTCGTCTGAAATGCTATGTCTATTTTTATGTGCATAAGCACAAAATAAGTACTTCCCCAAACCAAATTAATTGACACCGGTTTAGTGGAAAGTTAGTACGACCAGGGTCAACTAATATGGATCATAGGGAGTAGAACAGGGTCACCGAGTGTTGTCTTAATCACCAGACACATGCAGTTGGGCCTTTTTTACTGAACCTGAAAAGAAAAGAAAACATTGCTACAAACACCAACTATTCTTTATGGGACTCTGCCAAAGTAAACACCAACTATTCTTTATGGGACTTAGTGGACAACAACGAGCATGAAGATGCTGGCCCTTGCAGTTCAGCAGAAAATATGATGAGATCTTATCAAAATAGCACTTGCACCTGATGCGCATACACATACTAAAATGGGGCATTCCACCTCTATTTACAGCATGGCATCGACCGTGCATAGGGTTCAGCTAGTTTATCGATCCTCCTCAGCGGCGAAGTTCGTAAGAAACAACGCTGTGCCGAAGCACCCGACCAACGCTTTCAGCTGACTGAAAGAAATCTGGGTAGGCTTGAGACGTTGCGAGTTAGTGGTTGAGCTTTGAGTAGTATAACCAGATCCAGTCAACAGACATCAAACTCCTCACCGTATGTCATGGCTGGTTAAGCTCCTGCAGTGATATAAGTAGTACAAGATTAACCATGGACTAGATGATAAAATTAAAGGAGGGGCTTAAACGTGTAGCTGGCCAATGGCATCATGAGGTGGTTCTTCACTTCCATTTCCAGATTCTGCAACAACGAGATGCTTTTGATGTCAGGACAAAACAAGTATTAGTGAGTGCCAGTAAACTAGGGCTTCCTCGTATGCTTAGCGGTCAGATTTTTTTAGGCGAACATAGCTTGTTACTTGTTTTTCTTTTCTAGGGGTGAGCGTGTGCTGGCTTGCCTGAAGACCTATGAACCGCATTCTAGGCCTTCTCACGGCCCACATTTTGGCGCCAACATGGCAGCCTGGTAATGACCACTGTTTTGGGTACCGCTCGAAATTTCGTGATCCCGAGCGGTTACCGCTACCCCACGGAAAACATTCGTACCGAGAAAAAAATTCAAGTTTTTTTTGAAATTTGAATCCAAACAATCACCGTGCTGCTAAATACGCGGCATCTCTCCCGTAGCAACTGCGCTTGTGATGGCGTAGTGGCAAAGGCAGGCTTTATGGAGGTGCAAGTCACGGGTTCAAGTCTTTCCTTCTCTGCGCTGCTGGACTCACCAACTGGTCAGTGTCAAAGGCAGGGGCTGAATGAAAATAAACGCAAATGAGATTGACTGGAACATCTCTTCCTCCTCTGTTCCTTCATAAGCTTCTCCAGATTAGCATGATCTAAATGTTTCGGTGCTCAAAATTTTACAAAAATATCTTGGAAAATTTCACAGATGCTACTGTTCAAATTCGAAATAAAATCTGCCCCAACTTTGGGTTGAACTATAGGTAAGTGATAAATTCTGAAATGCATGAAATTTTTACTGGAGTTTGTAGATAACATGTAACTCCCATATATAAATATTCATGAAATTCCAGTAGTCGGATCATCACCAAACACATATATCACAGTTCTGTCATTTTCTCAAATTTAAAGAAACACACTTGATTCAAGGTAGCAAAATTAGTTTCAGAATTTTTGGGATTGAAGTTGTGGGGGAGGTATGAAATGCATGAGCTAATCGCATAGTCATGATAAGGATTTTGATGACTAGGCATGCGCTCATTCAATTAGGATCCGAACAAAATTTTGATGACTAGACATGCGCATATTCAATTATGACCAAGCAACTATGTGATTAAGTGATACCATGAGAGGCATTTGCATTGGTTTGACATAATAAAATGGGTTATTACAATACTTGCTCTAGGAGTACTTTCATTATCATCCTATCCTTATCCCATCATCGATAAGGTTATGCAGTTGCTAAAGTTTAATAACTTTTGTGATTTGCATTCATTTATTAATTAAATCATCAACTTGCTCAATAACATGCTCTATGTTTTCATGTAATGAAGGTTATTGAATCCCTATGGAAGAACGATATCTTTGATTCTACCTTATTGTATGTTATCCTAAATGCAAGGTATTAGTTATGTAAACCGTTGTTTCAATCCCATGTTTGCAAATGTAATCGATCCAAATTGTGCACACTCAATTATACATTTTTAAAGAGAAATCCTCTTAACTTCTCATCTACAAGGGTTTCAATTGATACACTAAGTGTTTGCTAAAATCTAAATTTACTAGCAAATGCAAATAATTTCAAAGCATTAATAGTTTTATATGGGACTCTGCGTTATTTAGCGCAGCAAGTTTGTATTATACATTATTTTTCATCTTGAAGGGTTTGAATTAGTACCCTAAGTGGTTGATAAAACCTACTTTTCTACTAACGAAGTCAAATATTCTCATAACGCATCATGTTTGAGATGGTTGCTCGGACACAAAGTTACTGAAAAATGCAACTATTTTCAAACGCGCACATGGTTTAACATGGGACTCAACAGTAAACCATAATAGTTCGAGATTGTACATGTGAACACCACATTCAGTTACCATTACAATTGTTTATCAACAATGTTCTTGTCACAAAAAAATAATAGATATATAGGCACATATACAATCATGCGTTGTAAAGCTTCAAACACTTGCTCATAATATCTTCCTCTCTGTCATTAGTCCGTTGTGAACTTGTGATGGAAACAAAATAGATTCCATCAAAATTGCTTCTGGATGCTATGATACTATAGCTTGGCCTTCCAAACGCAGTTTACTCAACACACAAGGCAAGGACCGTTGGTCTCGAGGCAACTGCTCAGTCTTATCCATCTGAGTACTAGGTATACAATGGACTTGCAAAGAAATCAATATTCATTTATGCCTACGGAAAACTAGAAGAGGATGAAGATCGCCTGACAAACAAACCTCTTAAATACATGGAAGGCTCTTACAACAAAGTGATACAAGGGTTCAACTATAATAAGCTACAATTGGTTCCAAAAAAAGTTTTGGAACACGAGCTGAAAGAAAAAGAAGGAATAATAGACTATATGAGCAATAACAGGTGCAATGGTCTAATGAGAAATCACACGGAAGTAAAGGAACTTTATTGCATCATAAATACCAACTCCACAACATGATCAATGCTTGAAGACAACGATCTCAACCATATTATCTCACAGATAATGTATGT